TGACGATGTTAAGCTTTTCTTATGGTGACGATGTTAAGCTTTTCTTATGATGACGATGTTAAGCTTTTCTTATGGTGACGATGTTAAGCTTTTCTTGTGGTGACGACTTATGTTAAGCTTTTTCTTGTGGTGACGATGTTAAGCTTACGATGTTAGCTTTTCTTGTGGTGACGATGTTAAGCTTTTCTTGTGGTAACGATGTTAAGCTTTTCTTGTGTGACGATGTTAAGCTTTTCTTATGGTGACGATGTTAAGCTTTTCTTATGATGACGATGTTAAGCTTTCTTATGGTGACGATGTTAAGCTTTTCTTGTGGTGACGATGTTAAGCTTTTGTTGAACGATGTTAAGCTTTTCTTGTGGTGACGATGTTAAGCTTTTCTTGTGGTGACGATGATGGTGACGATGTTAAGCTTTTCTTGTGGTGACGATGTTAAGCTTTTCTTATGGTGACGATGTTAAGCTTTCTTATGGTGACGATGTTAAGCTTTTCTTATGGTGACGATGTTAAGCTTTTCTATGGTGACGATGTTAAGCTTTCTTATGGTGACGATGTTAAGCTTTTTCTTATGGTGACGATGTTAAGCTTTTCTTATGGGACGATGTTAAGCTTTTTTATGGTGACGATGTTAAGCTTTTTCTGTGGTGACGATGTTAAGCTTTTCTTATGGTGACGATGTTAAGCTTTTCTTATGGTGACGATGTTAAGCTTTTCTTGTGGTGACGATGTTAAGCTTTTCTTATGTGACGATGTTAAGCTTTTCTGTGGTTGTTAAGCTTTTATGGTGACGATGTTAAGCTTTTTCTTATGATGACGATGTTAGCTTTTCTTGTGGTGACGATGTTAAGCTTTTCTTATGGTGACGATGTTAAGCTTTTCTTATGGTGACGATGTTAAGCTTTTCTTGTGGTGACGATTGTTAAGCTTTTCTTGTGGTGACGATGTTAAGCTTTTCTTGTGGTGACGATGTTAAGCTTTTCTTGTGGTGACGATGTTAAGCTTTTCTTGTGGTGACGATGTTAGCTTTTCTTGTGGTGAATGTTAAGCTTTTTATGGTGACGATGTTAAGCTTTTTCTTGTGGTAACGATGTTAAGCTTTTCTTGTGGTGATGATGTTAAAGCTTTTCTTGGTGACGATGTTAAGCTTTTCTTATGGTGAGATGTTAAGCTTTTCTTGTGGTGACGATGTTAAGCTTTTCTATGGTGACGATGTTAAGCTTTTCTTGTGGTGACGATGTTAAGCTTTTCTTGTGGTGACGATGTTAAGCTTTTCTTATGTGACGATGTTAAGCTTATGGTGACTTAAGCTTACGATGTTAAGCTTTTCTTATGGTGACGATGTTAAGCTTTCTTCTGTTCTTTCTTGTGGTGACGATGTTAAGCTTTTCTTTGTGGTGACGATGTTAAGCTTTTCTTGTGGTGACGATGTTAAGCTTTTCTTGTGTGACGATGTTAAGCTTTTCTTGTGGTGACGATGTTAAGCTTTTCTTATGGTGACGATGTTAAGCTTTTCTTGGTGACTCTTGTGGTGATGTTAAGCTTTTCTTGTGGTGACGATGTTAAGCTTTTTCTTGTGGTGACGATGTTAAGCTTTTCTTATGGTGACGATGTTAAGCTTTTCTATGGTGACGATGTTAAGCTTTTCTTGTGTGACGATGTTAAGCTTTTCTTGTGGTGAAATGTTAAGCTTTTCTTGTGGTGACGATGTTAAGCTTTTCTTATGGTGACGATGTTAAGCTTTTCTTGTGGTGACGATGTTAAGCTTTTCTTATGGTGACGATGTTAAGCTTTTCTTATGATGACGATGTTAATGTTAAGCTTTTTCTTGTGGTGAGATGTTAGCTTTTCTTACGATGATGACGATGTTAAGCTTTTCTTGTGGTGACGATGTTTAAGCTTTTTCTTATGGTGACGATGTTAAGCTTTCTTATGGTGACGATGTTAAGCTTTTTCTTGTGGTGACGATGTTAAGCTTTTCTTATGATGACGATGTTAAGCTTTTCTTGTGGTGGACGATGTTAGCTGGTGACGATGTTAAGCTTTTCTTACGATGTTAGCTTTTCTTGGTGACGATGTTAAGCTTTTTCTTGTGGTGACGATGTTAAGCTTTTCTTGTGGTGACGATGTTAAGCTTTCTCGATGTTAAGCTTTTCTTATGGTGACGATGTTAAGCTTTTCTTATGGTGACGATGTTAAGCTTTTCTTATGGTGACGATGTTAAGCTTTTCTTGTGGTGACGATGTTAAGCTTTTCTGTGGTGACGATGTTAAGCTTTTCTTGTGGTGACGATGTTAAGCTTTTCTTGTGGTGACGATGTTAAGCTTTTCTTATGGTGACGAATGTTTTTTCTTATGGTGACGATGTTATGGTGACGATGTTAAGCTTTTCTTATGGTGACGATGTTAAGCGTGGTGACGATGTTAAGCTTTTCTACGATGTTAAGCTTTTCTTGTGGTGACGATGTAAGCTTTTCTTATGGTGACTTTCTTATGGTGAGATGTTAAGCTTTTCTTATGGTTGTTAAGCTTTCTCGATGTTAAGCTTTTTCTTGTGGTGACGATGTTAAGCTTTTCTTGTGGTGACGATGTTAAGCTTTTCTTGTGGTGACGATGTTAAGCTTTTCTTTGGTGATGTTAAGCTGGTGACGATGTTAAGCTTTTTCTTGTGGTGACGATGTTAAGCTTTTCTTATGGTGGAC